CCGGGACAAAATGTCCGCCGGGATGCGTGAGCACGTGCGGGTCTCGGAAGACGGGGAGGAGATCCCGGCTCATGTCGGCGGGAATCACGCCGTCCGCCAGGCCGAACACGTGCATGGACGGCATCTGCAGCGGCGCCGAGTAGAACCTGAGGAAGGGGCGCAAAGCGCGACAAGGTTGAGGCGGCGGGGCCCGGGCAACTCGGGAGGGATCCGGCCGGCCTGACCTGAGGTGCTCCGCGCAGGCGCTGCGGAAGCCGGCGACCAGGATGGCGAAGCGGAAGCCGAAGTCCGGCTCGGCTTGGGACTCCTGCAGCGCGCACAGCATGGCCACCAAAGCGGCGCCTTGGCTGAAACCCAGGACGCCGTCGAATGGGCCGTCATCCCGCACCGCCCGGCGCAGCGCCGCCACGCTCTCGTCCAGGCCCGCGCTCTCGTCGCAGCGTTGCTGCGCGCTGAAGGTCCGGGCGGCCGGGTCCGAGAACCACCAGCCTCGGTACTCCCGGTCCCCGTCACAAGTGCCGCCGACGCTCTCTTGGGCTGCGGCGCGGCAGCGACAACAATTTACGTTAGTCCTTGACGGTCGCGGAAATCTCCAGGTGTAAAGCACAATTGATCAATGATCAGATTAATCAATTAACTGGAGACCTGCTCAAGTTCAGGTTGGTCACGCTGAACGCATTCAAAGTCGTCCTCCATAAAAGGAGACCGATTCTGTTTGTCTTTCCTCCAACTGAGACACTTTCACAGCTCTGCATGTTTTTCGTCTGGAAAACAACGATGGAAAATCTCTGCCAATTTTCTGACCTAACTGAGAAATGAATCATACTTCTTTCATGCTTTGGCATTTTCGGAATTGTCAATTTGACATCGTGCTCTCTTTTTGAATAGTGGGATGGAGATTACGGCATGTTTGATTCAATCGGATTCACAGATGAATTGTCATAAAAGCCTTCTTGAAATAGTTGTTAGTTGCGGCCTTCGTTGACGATGCAGTGAACTCGAGTGCTGGAACAATTCGTCAAATACTCCCTAACCACTACGTTGGGATTTTCAGTATTTCTTTGAAGAAAAACACAAATGTTGAGTTCAATAATCCTCATTCACGTTTCGGTTTAGTAAATCGAAGCAACTCAACCGCTCGACATCACGGAAGTGAGGTGACAGGGTCAGGAAACACATTTTCGCCATCTAGTGGCCATTCAATCAACTGCGCCTCCCCTCTTCCAATTTTGTTTCGTCGGGAAAAACGGCATTTTACGGATATATTTAAGCAATTGCGCATACTTGAAAAAGGAAAAAAACGTTGTTTAAGCAATTTCGTAATGTTTCATGACGACTTCACTCGAGTTTGGAAGAAGGCCAGCTAATCTTTGAAGTGAATTGATGTTGAGCTCACCGAGCAAGTGCGGTGCGTCCACGTACACCAAGTGGACTTTGGTCTTGAGGAGCTTCCTGAGGGCGCCCGTCTTCTCCCGGAACGAGGCGCCGCTCTGCCGGTAGCCGTGGACGCACAGCACTCGCAAAGGTGCCATGGGCGCAGTTCCGGGAGGTCACCGGAGCTATCTGACTAGCTTTGTTTGGGCCGCCGCTTCTTCTTCTTCTACTTCTTTCTTCCTCCTCATAAGGAACGCACGAGCTGCGTGAAGTATAATGCTGCCCTCCACTGGTCACACGATGAAGAACTAACGCGCACACACACGCACGCACGCACACACACAATCAGAGCCACTAGCTCACTAGCTAACTAGTAGCTGCTCGTTTCCAGGGGAAAGAAGAAGCGAAGTAATCAAGTAGAAATACTTTTCGACTGTCCGTCCTTGACTTGCGTTTCTTTTTTTTCCCTTTGGGCCATATGTAGCGCCGACCGTGCACACCTCCGTTCGCTCACAAACCCATGGAACCAAATAAAACCTTCTCACAAACACATAATGGCGCACAAACACACAATTGCGCTTATGAACATATACCAAGGGGAACAACGGGATGAGACCAAGTTTATGACCCTAAAGCATTTAGGGGATGTGAATTCGTATGATCTCAGAGGGGGGGGGGGGGTTTCCCTCAAAAAGTAGATGCGTCAAACTTTCCAGCGCTCGTTCTGCAGTTTTCCATGCAAGCACAAGAGGTCGCTGATAGCTTGCCTCAGCTACGTACTGAGGAGGGGGGGGGGGGGAGATGTTGTTTTTTTCCGCCCTCCCCATTCGACGTCAAGGTTGCGTGAAAGTTGCTTGCGGCCGCGGAGCCGTCCAACGTGTTGTGGAAACGCGTCGGCCGCACGTCGGGCGGCTCGCGCGAGCGACTGGGCCCCCGGGGACGGTACCCTTGGGCCGCTTCACGGCGGCTTGGCGACACCGACTCAGCGCCTCTCCGCCTTTCCAAAAGCGGACCAAGTTTGTGCCAACTCCAGGACAAAGTTGGAGCCGTCCTGTTGACTTTTTACGCGTCATGTCCGGATCCAATTTTGCTCGGCTGTTTTTGCGGGATTGGGCACACTTTTGAGATCTGTTTCTCGGCCTCCAACTTCGATCATTTGTGGATTTTGACTGACGCTCGGAACCGTCGTCGGATCGGAACTGGGTCGTCTTTTTGAGGGGGGCGGGGGGGGTTGTTTTTCGAGAGGGCGATGCGGTAGGACGAAGGCCGCGACGCCGTTCGGACCGGCGTTCAAAGCGGTCGAGGCCTGCGGGTCGGGCTTCTAGCGGTCTCGAATAGAGCCATTGGCCGCCTGGGAGGCTTCGCTGATCGGCTCTGCCTGGCGCGATGGAGCGGATGGAAGTGGACCAGTGCGCAGGCGCAGCTGCGGGGGCTTTACGCAGGTCCATCAGCGCCCCCATGATTACGAATGTCAGGTTAGTGCTACCGCAGGCCGGAATGAACCCTCAGGAGTCACGATTTAGTTCTTCTCTTCTTCGCTGGACACGCGAAAAGCAAATATACCCTTTCGTTTCAATTTCATTTTTTTTTCAGGACGCTAAAGACATGTTTACTCATGTGGTCTGTAGCGCCAAACGCAAGGCCTGGGGGCCAGATGCGGCCCGCAAAGCCAAATCGTGTGCGTCGCTTTTCTTTTTCCTTGCAAATTGTCTTTTTCCATCACTGAGAGAGGAGAATTTGCAAGTATTTTTCCTTATCAATCCGCCCCTTTCGAGTCAACTGAAAACTAATTGAACCGGCTTGTGATTTCACCTCCTTGGCACCAACATCGGCGTCCACCGTCATTTCCCGAGGTTAGCGCTCGCATTCCCGCTTTGCGAGACCAACGTTCGCTTGTGTGATGTCTCCTAATGGGTGAACGGTTGCGCGTCGAGCTGTTCGCTATCGAGACGCCAAGATTGTCGAGTGTCATTTTTGTGTTTGTGTCCATCAGCGAGAGGATGGCCATGTGCAGTTCCGTCGTTTCGCAGAGACAAAGGCGAGTGTCCGTCAACTGCAGCTGTCCGTCACAGGTCGGTCAGGAGGATTTTTTTTTCTTTTCAAAGTTGAAAATGCTTCATTTGCACTCTTAACGATCAGGGTTTGGGGGGGGTTAAAAAAAAAATTAAAAAACGCTTTCTCCGATTTGATCAGAAGATGGAGCAATGTATTTTCTTTTTCAACGACGTGCCCGTGTATTTATTCTGCAAAAGGTGCTTTGGTTTGCAAAAAACAAGGGCAAGCTTTGATTTTGCCCGCCTACGTCCCGTCCGGCCGCAGTCAACGTGACGTGCATGCGTGCGCCTGTGTGCAGGAGGACAACATGGAGGCGTCGCTCCAGGAGTCCCCGCCTCCCAGACTCAGGTGGCGCCGGGCCCGGCCGGCCGCGGCCGTTCGCGGCCGTTGACGCTCACGCTTTCCGTTTGCCTTCCAGCGTTTCCTGTCAGCTCCCGGCTCCGCCCAGCAGCCAGTGGCAACGGCCGCCGCCAGCCGAGGTGGCCTTTGGCTTTTACGGCGGTGCCCGCGCTCACGCTTTTGCTGACGCTCGCCTTTGCCTTTGTGTCCTCCTCAGTGGTTTGGCTGGCAGGAAAGCGGCGTGACGCCAAACTCCTCGCCGAGTTCTGCCAGGAGGTCGGGCGACAATTACTTACAAAGGTGAGACTCACCTTTTCCCTCTCCGACCCCCCGACTCTTGCAAATGTCCTCTTTTTCTCTCCAACTCATGACATTTCTTTCCCGTCTGTCAACTCGCAGAGTGTCCAGCGGCGCCAACATCAGATGGCCCCCCTTGATGCCGCTCAAGCGAAAAGGTTTCTATCTTTCCATCAATCCAAAATTTTTAGAGACAGCATTTTTAGAGACACAAAAAAAATTTTTTTTTTCCTTTTGGGTGGAGGGGGGTTAACGAGCCAACATTTGAAGGGGAAAAAAAAGACTGTTGTCAACCACAACTCACGCCCGGTCGCTCACGCGCCGATGAAGCGGTCCGTCCGACTGACGGCAGCTCCTGCAGTCACTTGGCCAGACCCCTGAAACACAGACACCCAACATCCTGGGTTTTGTTGGGCTTTTGGCAAATACTAATTGATTATCAAATCAATCATTTCCATCATCGATGAGTCATTTACAAACATCAGTGTCCACATTTTCAGCCTCTTCACAGTAAATGTTTTGGAATTTCTTCCATTCTCCAGAAAAGCAGTCCAATAATCACCCCCCCCCCCGCCAGTTGGTGAATTTTCTGTTGTTTTTATTTTGTCCGATTTCATTGATGAAAGGGGGGTGGGGGGGGGGATAAATAACTCGATCATTTAAGTAGTTGGCCGCAGCCCTGGTTTTGATCCAACCCAGTGCTATTTCCCCTTGTTGGAAAAACAAAGCAGAAAGCTGTCCGGAAGAGATTCCGATGGGCAAAAGCGACTCGGGATTTGAAGCGAGCGGGCTCACGAGTTGGCTCACGTAACCAATGAAAGTCCCAAGTCAAGGTAGGACTGCATTGACAGCCGTTTGAGTGCTCACTCTTCTCTCTTGACATGGTCTCTCAGGAGGGGCGGAGTCAGACGGTCCCCCCAAGAAGCTTTTTGTGACCGGCGTGTTAGACCCCGCCCACCGCAGTCGATATGCGCTCAGGTGATGACTAATGGCCACGCTCCGCTCTCGGCTGACATCCTTTTGACTTTCTACCCCCGCCCGTTTTTCCGTCCTACGCCATGAACAAGCAACGGCCTGAAAAACTCCGCTCGACTATTAAACGAGCACCAAAAGATAAATCGACGAAAACAAACTTCCGTGGCCTACTTGCATTGCAGAGTGTGACCCCCTCACAAACACACACACACAATAAACGGGAGGGTGTCACCATACATGTTCAGGAAATGCCAAACGTAATCGGTATCACTTCTGACTTGCTTTTTACGTGTGCGCCCGCAGCGCCTCGGCCGCAGGGACCGCCCCCGGCTGCGGCCCCCCGTCGCCCCCGCCCACTTTCACCCCATTCACCGCTCTGCCGCCGCGTTAAGCCCGCCTCCGCCGCCTCGCAAGTCTTACCTCTTCTTGAACCGCCGGCGTCCTGCGATGAGGAGGATGTCACACATGGGGAGGGACCAGGAAGGCGCGGCGTCGGAGCCAAACCTGGAAGTGGCTACTTGCCGGGGAAATTTGCAGCACGCCGCAACGCTCGTTTCCAGCAAGGACCGCCATCTTCGATCTTTGTCGGCGGTCACCGGCCTGGTCGCACCCAAGCGAGCGGGTGCTCCCCGTCAGGACTTTGCTTTTTCTTTGTTTTTTTTTTTTGTTACCGTGTACAGCAACAGTCAAGCGTTTTGGGGTCGGGATCTTTTCCGAGGAGAATTTTTTTTTTGGGGGGGGGGGGGTTCCCCACCAATCAAACATTGTGTATCCCCCAAATGTCCCAGAAGTTCCGAGTGTTCTCACCCAAAAAAAATTCTATATTTTTTCTTGTAATGAGAGAATAAAATTCATTTATTTTTTTCAGAAAAAAAAGTTGTCATCTTTACAAGAACAAAGAGATTTTCTTGGAATTCATTGAGCTCAAGACTGAAATTATTTTTCGAGATCGATTTGCAGCCAAAAGTTGAGCGCTGGAACAAGCACTTGATTTTTATATCTTCGAATGTGCCGAAAACTCAAGCGTTGGTTTGGTGAAGCAATGTTTAGTGGCAGACGATTCCGCGGAGCCCTGTTTGCAAAGCACCGCGCCAAAGTCTGAACAAAGCCCATGGAGCGTCGCGTTATTTTGTGATTTCCTCTCTTGATTTTCAGTTTGGCGCATTACACCTTTGCTTTTCTGAGTGTCATTGAAGTCATCGTTGATTTCCGTTTTCGGGGACGGTCACTCTCGAGATGAAGGCACGGAGACCGAGAAGGAGAAGGACGTGCCTGTGCAGTAGTTGCTTGAGTTGTGTATAAGTTTTAAAAAGAACCAAGACGACGGCTCATTTGTTTTCTGTCGCTTTGCTCCGCTGCAGAAACTGCCGCGTGACCGCAACTGGAGCCGCGCCGGTGCTAACACGCTCAGCGGCTTTGTACGTGTGACCGCTCCGCAAAATTTGCTCCGATGTAAAATATATCGCAACAAAATACATCGGTGTAGCGCCGGAGCAAATGTGTGCCGTGTGAACGCCCCTTTGGTTTCAACATATTGGGAGCAAAGCGAGCACGAATGCCAATTGGTGGCTAGTCCGAATCAGGGGCCCCCGCCCTCCTTCTCCTCCTCCGTAGTCAAGGTCGGCCAACAACCGGCCGGTCAGCGGGAGAGCAGCGGGAGGTCTCCGGGGTTGATGATGAGGCTGGAGTCCAGGTTGAGATTTTCTGCGGAGAACCACAGATAAAGTCACGGCGAGCAGCCATCGGGATGCCCAAAGTCAAGTCGCTTTCGCTGGGACGGCGCCGCGCGACAAAACCCGGCGCTCGCAAGACAACCCCAGGCCGGGCGGAAGCCGAGCGCCCGCCTCCAGATGACGAGACGAGCGAGCGGAGCGGCCGCCTGCAACTGCCCGCTGGCTCTTTGGCCCTCCCTGTCGCCTTGGCAAAGGGGGGCGGCGCGACGAACCGGCCCTCAAATACACCGGCGCTGTTTGATTCGGAAGGAAGCTTGAACGGGTTTTTCTTCCATCCAGGACAAATTGGGTGCTCCCCGTAGCGCTTCCTTCACTTCAGAAGGCGCCCGTGCACGCTTCCCGTCGCTCCAAACGCACCATCCGCCGTGAGAACCGCATTGACTTGACTCCAATCGCGCCGCCAGGAACGCTCGCGACGGATTGGCTGTGCGCGTAACAGAACCTAATCCTCCATGCTCCGCAGGCTTCATTTCCTCAACCGCGGTAGGCATTAAACCTCGGCGTGACTTTGGATGAAGACTTTTGTCAGTTGTGGTCGGAACCCAAAAAAACGGCGCGCGGCCGAACGAAGCTGACCTTGGTCGAAGTTGAGCTTCTTGCCGAGCCCGTCCATGTCCACCAAGTCGCTGTTGACGTCCGAGTCGTTGAGCGCGCTCAGCGTCACGTCTGCCGGCAGCAAAGGGGCGACGGGTGCAAGCAAGAAAGCGACGAGACTCACTCAGTGACTTTTTCCAACCCCGTTGTCCAAATGAGTTTGTTCACACAGCATTTGCTTGGCAACTGGCGTCCAAATAAACATTGGGGCAACAACCGTTTTGTTGATGACTCCACAAACGGGAGATGCCTTGGCAAGAGTGATGTGATTCCAGTATTTTGCTAGCAATCGTGAGCTGAAGGCAGCATTTTGTTGAAGGGGGCCGGGGGGGGGGAACAGCAAGAAAGAACGCCGGGCATTTTGGCGGACGGGAGGCGTACCTGCCGTCTTCTGCTTCTTGATGGGCGGCGCCAGGGAGGCGGCGCTCTTCGGGGGCGGGGGCAGGGGCGGCGGCCTTCTTGGCGCTCTTCTTGAGCGAGTCGACGGCGAGCGGCACCCTGCTGTCCTCGTACAACTTCCTCTTGACCGTGCTCTTGATCTGAGCGCTGCCGCGGGACAAAAACAAACCTGATCTGATCACTGTCATCTTAAGGGTAAGGAAAAAGGCAGGTTGATCATCTGGAAGGTACACGTCGCCATCCGCGACGCCGGACACTTTTGCGTACGTACACGGTGCGATCTTTAATGACGCTGCTGATGCTGTTGAGGTCGTCGCCAAATCGCCGCACGGCCAAGCGCAGCATCTCGATCTCCGTCTCCGTCCATTTGGCCCTGAACGTAACCAGCGATTAGCCGCCTGAGTTCATCTTAGCGTAGCCATCGGCGACGTCGGCGGCCGCGCCCACCCTGCGGGGCTGCTGTCGGACACCGGGTGCAGCTGCATGGTCAGCTCGCCCAGTTTGCTGAACGCCGCCCCTGCCGCCGAGAAGATCTCCCCCACCTGCCAGAGAATTTGCCCAGCAGTCGCGCAAAGGCAACATCTTGGTGACAATGACGAGCCGAGTCCAACTTTGTGCTCGCAAAGAAAGTATTTGAAAACAACCCGAATGCGGATGCAACATTTCATTGACAATGACAATGCAAATGAAACAACTGTACTGTGAATCCAATGCATCGCTCCAATAACACTTGTGATGTGAATGCATCTTTTCAACAGTCGAGATGCGAATGCAACATTTTGAACTCAACTTGTTGGGCACAATTGCGATTAAGGATAGGGCGAGTACTAATCCCAGGCCAACATTGTAAGGTTGGGAGGGAGGCTGCCATTACCAGCCACTGATACTTAAGGTAAAATAAATAAATAAATAAATCATTGAATGAATGAATAAATGAATGAATAAATAAATAAATAAAGGAGTTAAAATCCTCCTCTGCAGCGGTTGGCGCAGTACTGCGGCAGACTCACACATACGGAAAATCATCATCTGGAGCAGGAAGAAAAAGTCTTTGCTCACAAGTTATCATCATTGTGTTGAAGGAAATTGTATCCATTAAGAGTCCTAGAGGTATCGGTACTTGGTATCGGTGGGTAATGAACGAGTGAATACTTGGTATCGGTCTGGGAGGACAAAATACTATCGACCATTGCTAACACGATGCAACTGAGCCATTTTGTTGATGCGAATGTAGCATTTGGCTCACGATGAAGAAGCCGTGATGTTCTCTCTCTCACCGTCAGATTTTTTTTTAATTGGACTTTTCTCATTTTGGACAAAATCTTCGATTCCACCCCCTCCTCCCGCATAAAGAAAAAGCATCAAAGCCTTTTGAAAAGCAGCCCGCTAACAGTCCCTGTTGCCTAATTGTTCATTTACCTTCGCAGAAGCAGACGTCATGTCGACAAAAGTCAACAGCTCTTCCTTTTTGCCGACTTGTTTCTGGTCAATACAAACAAAAATACGAGCGAGCTAGCGCTGCTATGTAGCTAACATTAGTCGGACTGGCGGTGGCTGGCTGCCGCTAATTAGCGGTTTCCATGGAGAAGCTCCTTACATCGCTCTAAAAAAAAAAACTCGCCGACTGAAGGTCAAGTTTAGTTAAACAGCATTTGGCAACGCAAAAAAAAAGCTCCAAGAGCTTCTCGAGTCAAGTTAGCAGAAAGAAACAAGTCAAACAAAGCGAGGCGGCTGTCTGGGCGGATTGGCAAACTGCGAACGCCATTGGTTAGTCGTCATCCGGAAAGGCGGGGCGTCTTGATTCGAGGTTTTCCATTGGTCGCCGTGTTACCAATGCGCGTCATCACCGTCGAGTTGGCCAGAGACGACGCCGGACCCGACATAGCAGTCAGCGGCCCCAAATCCTGCCGGTCTGAAAGGTTCCCGTCCTCCAAGGCAGCTGATTTAAATGATGAGCATGCTTTGGAGAAGCCTGATGACGATTCTGATCCTTTAAATCTGGTGTGTTGGAGGTGGAAAAACATTGAAAACAGCTGGATAGGGGCTCTGGGGGACGAGGCTTGGGCTCGCTTTCAACCCTGAACGTCGCATCATTGTCAACACTGAAGAGAGCCCAATCTTTTAAAATGTTCCAACTTTTGACATGGAGAAGGTTTATAACATTTGCTGCCTCACGCAGCTCATTTGTATTTGAAAAAATTAGCACATTCTCTCTCTCTCTCTCTCACACACACACATTGAATCTTTGAAAAACCCCTTTAAACTGGCATTTCAAATTTAATTATGAGGAAGAAAACACTTGTCTGCCGAAGAAACAAGTTGCAATTGGGCCTCACGAATGCTGTGTGGAGGCATCATCTCAGCTTTTATTCCAAAATGTCCAAACTTTGTGGAATTTGGTGCCAACAGATTTGTCATTTTTATTTCTACACAAAAACACATTCACGGGACTTTTATATGGATATCCATACTTGCTATCACACGTTTGTACTTGTGGAATGGGAAGTTGACAACGTGAGCACGCAAGGTTTCAAGGCAAAATAAATAACAGGTCTGTAGGGGTTTTGGGGGTGGGGAGCAGCCATCTTAGGTCACCATGTACTCCTGCCGCTTGTTGAGTCGAACCTGGCACAGCGACACGGCGCCCACCGCCACGTAGACGGCGGCCGCGATGAAGCAGTTGATGCCCACTTGGCTGTAGAGACCGTAGATGTTCTGAGGAGGGTGTTGACTGTGGGAAGACAGACGCAACGACATCACTTCCTGTTGCAAGGCCAAACGGGCTTCCTACACGTTGCGCCTTTCTAAATTGCTGACTAAAGATCTCGGCGGAAATAGACGTGCGTCAGAGCGGCAAACTGGGAGAAGAAGAAGAAGAAGAAGGAGCCTGGCAGGCAGCACTGACTCGTTGCGGATGTCCTCCTCTGTAAACGGGACGTCCTCGATGAGCACGGCCGATTTGGCGCTGAAGAAGATTCCCAGCATCGCCTGCAGCCGCAACAAACAGCACAGCCACAAATGAGCAACCAAAGCTTTCTTGGCCCCCTCGCAGTTGTCAACAAAATGTGCCACTTTATTGCTCCATGTCAGGAAATTGGGAACAGGTTCTCATTTGCAATGAATGCCGACCTGCTTGCTACTGGCTTCGGAATTCTTCACAAAATGCTCAATTCGCATTCAAATGTAAGCTAAATGTTCCTCAGTCACGTGATAATTAACAAAACGGTGCATTTGCTTGACAAAACGCTCAAATCTCCCTCAAAATTGTCACCAAAATATCTCTTTCGTGGATGCGAGCAAAATCATCACCGATCAAAACGATGTGATTGCCGCCGAAGCGTTTCTCGATTTGTGCTGTCCTTTTATTCCTTCCTGTTCTGAAAAGTCACGTGAAGCTATTTTGTTCCATCACGTGATCTGTGAACCACTCATCCTCGTTTGTTGCCCTTTTGCGACAATTTCACGAGGAAGGGAACAAACGTTGCGATTGTTTCTGGTGATTCTGTTACGCTTGGGCTCCGTCTCACGTTCGACACTCCGCAGTTGAACGAACGTCGGCCGACACATTTATCGCCACAATACGACTCGGAAGAAGGAGAATGTTGCAGGCAGCAAATCAAAACATCTTTGTGTTCTTACCAACATGATGACTCCCCAAATGCTGATGACCATACCGCACGCGGCCATTTTGGGCCCGCAGAATAGCAACGACGGCATCCTTCGCGCTCAGCAGTCACACGCCGCCGCCACCACCACCCCGACGACGAGTGTTCCTTTTTTTGTGGGTCTTCGAGGAGAACTCAAGCCGCCGCCACAGGAGGAAGCACGACTGCCGGGCACCGACGAGCCGACGCTGGTTTCGTGTCAGCTGATTTCGGCCAGCACCGACTTCTTCCTTTTCCTTGTTGGTGGCGCATTACCGCCACCTACTGGTCGGAAGTGTGGATCAGTCAAAGCGCGTTCTGTTCGCCTGTTCGTTTGCTTTCATTTCGATGATTTCCTTCCCTCTTCGTACAAACATCTTGACATGGCATTCAGCGTGTTAGTAATAATTCCTTTTAATATAGTGAAGATGAATTCTCAGATTTATCAGTAACATTTTTTTTATTTCTTTCAGTTGTCTTTCACCAGCACATGCGATTGTATTACTTCTTCAAAAACACGTGTGACGCCAAAGTACTTTTTTTTGTAACAAACGTTTTTCACGCCCAAAATAAAACTTTTTTTGTGAAAATAAAATACAATTTCAACTCTTAACATAAGACAAAATGTGACCAAAACAAAAAATCTTAAAAATATGCGCGTTTTCCGCAAAAAGAAAACTTCCAAATAAAAAGAAACCTTGACCCGTGAAATACACCCTTGTCGCCTGTAAAAATATTTTACACATCAATTCATTTGTCCGCAACAGGCTCGCGGGAAATTGCTGGAGCTTGTCCCAGCTGATTTTGTGCGGAAGGCCGACGAGACCCTGAACTGGTCGCCAGCCAGTAAGTCGCAGGGCACATGTGGACAACCAACCATTCACACCCACACCGAGAGGGAACCGATCCCACATTACCTGCGCACAAGTCAGGCGAGTGGATCAAAAACACATTTCACTGTCTTGGTGTCAACCAAACGAAGAAAAACGAGAACTCAATGACATTGGTTTCTCCCAACTTTGGTACAAGTCTTCAATGACAGAAAAACGTTCGTTCCACAGGTGGAATTATCAAATTCATCCCTTATTTTGATAACCGAGTAATTGTTGAGACACCTCCAATAACTTTGAATCATCCAAAGCCTCCCAACAGTAAACGTTTTGTTTTTCCGCATGTAAAACTAGTTTTTTCTCTGATTATATCGCTTTTTTTGGGGGGGTCCGATATCTTCTGGTGTCCGAGACTGGGAAGAATTGGACTTCCATGATTTGCTCTGGGATATGTAGCTTTGGCTGTGGAAGAGACTCATCGGGAAAGGCGAGGTTCCACAGGTGGACGAATAACTGGGAAGTGACACAACCCACTATTTGATATCAGCAAGTCACCACTTCTTACGAGACTTTATTAAAATAGTTTGGACACACAAACGACACCATGAGGCCAGAGTTGTCACAAGATAACAAAAATAACACCTTTGTAGCCCATTTTTGTACAAAAGTGATTTTAAGCACGCAGAAGTCAGATAAAATTGGGTGAAGTTGATTTCAAAACAGTGAGGACATGTTCAAAACTTTGATTTTTAGTTTAATAACGTGTGCTTACAAACATTCCAAAAGACACAAAAAACCCAACAAAAATCTACAAAAATAGAGCGCTGGACACTTGTCCATCTGGACTTTTTGATCCATAAAACATGGGAAAGATAGCTATCTCGCCTCTGCTCGCATATGGACACCCTACCCTGCTGTAGCGTTTTGCTCAGCTAATAGCGACGCAAGCACCCGCGTGCCCGAAAGAGTCTGAAACGGTGCGTGGTTAGGCGTGTACTTGGATTGGCGGGAGGCGCTCACTGGCCGACGATGAGCTGGCGCAGGTAGGAGGTGGTGAGGCCTCGCAGCTCCTCCAGGGCATAGTCCTCGGGCATGGGCAGCCGGGCCAGGTGCGGCGCCAGCTGCTGCGGCGGCGGCGGCGCACCCGCGCCGCGCTGCAAACTCAGCACCACGCGCAGGATGTTGGCCACGCACTTGGCCATCTCTGAGGACACGCGCACATTGTTCATCACTCAAAGTCACGTTCGACCATTCTTACTCTCGGACATTGTTGGACATTCGGATGACTTTTCATTGGAAATGGCAGCCTCATCTCAGGAAATGACACCAACCTTTTTTTTCTTTTTTGTACAAGTTCAACTTTTTCAGTCACTGAACATGTCTTTCACATTTGCAAACTCGGACAATGACACTTTTTCCCAGTTTCAATAATCCCCCCCAAAGACATATCAAAGTTGGGATCATGAGGGTGGAAAAAGGGTATGACTTTCAGGGAAAACATGACATTTTTGGTGTTGGATTTTACAATAAAGTTGGAAAACTTTTAGGTAGAAAGTGTCCTTGAATGAGGTTGCCAAAATGTCTTTTTTTTTCTCGTTGGGGGAACACTTATCGAGGTTTGCCCAGAATAACGTACTAATTCTGCGGGGCAAAAAAAAAAAAAAAGAAACCCAAACTGTTTTGCTACCTGACTGTGCCAAGCGGTCTCTGGCGCCCTCACAGGGCAGGAGCTGGATCCTGTCGCACAAAGACGTGACTTGGGTGTGAAGGCGCTCCAGCTCGTAGCCGTCGGCGTCGCCACTTTCCACCTGGAACGCAACCAATGTCGTCAACGCCTGGCAACGCGTGGCTACGCCTGGCGACCAACCGACCTGCTGAACGGCCCGGAGGGTGTTGGTGATCCGGATGTAGTCCAGGTAAACCTTGCCGGCAGTATCCCAATCCTGGATGGTGGCGCTGTGCTCGGGCACTGCCAGCCCCTCCAAAAACTCCAGCAAGTAGTCGTGGTTGCCGTTGATGATACAATCTAGGAAATGGCATTTTTCGGGGTTGGGACCAAGTTAGGAGAAAAGGTGCAATTGCCAGACCGAAAAAGCGGGCATTTTACACGGAAAATGAGATTCGGAGTTGGGAGGAAGGAGGCGTCCTTTTCAGAGACGTTGGCATTTTACCGCAATTTTTCCAACGGTCGGAATTTGTTAGATGAAAGGTTTGAGATTTAAAGTCATCTGATTCCCCAAGACTTAATGTTGACATTGTACCAATAGAAAGAGCAGCTATTTTTCTGAATATGAACTC